GCGCATGTCAAAGTCTCAACACACCACTGTACCCGTGCTGAAACCCTATGGCGGCTTGGCCTCAGCAGAACGAAAGTTACACTGAACATCTTCAAGTTCGGTTCAGATCTCCAAGGTTTGAAGTTTGTCATCATGGGCTTGCCAGGTGGCCACTCGGTACATCGCTACAAACTCAAATCTCATACGGACCTCACAAAGTCTGCATTCCATCAAGGATCGCCAGCAAAAAAGGGTGGCTGGACAGCGCCAACAATAGCCTGTGACACGACACGTCCAACAGCAAGTCAGACTGACTTTTCTCCTCCCTGAGGGACACATTGTGCGTCTCAGTGCGAATGATTAGATGTATGTGGTCATCATTCTAGTTTGGCACACAGCAGCGGCCACAGGCCAGGCTTCCAACCAGTCCCCCACCAGTCTGTGCCCACTTGCCTTGACTTGTTTTTCCCTCAACTGACAATGCTGTGCTGCCAACTTCGCCAGCCTCACACACACACACAAACCCACGCGCACCCCCTTTGACAAATTGACTGCCTAGTAACTAGTAAGTACATGCCACCCTTCTAGCCAGCAGTTCTGTTCCTTTGCAAAACTTGCAAGGCGTGTAGGCACGGTTTGCTTCAATGCAAGGCCTCAGCAGAACGAATGTTATTCTGAACATCTTCAAGTTCTGTTCAGATCTCCAAGGTTTGAACCCCTCGGTACATCGCTACACATGCAAATCTCACACGGACCTCACAAAGTCTGCATTCCATCAAGGATCGCCAGCAAAAAGAGGTGGCTGGACAGCGCCAACAATAGCCTGTGACACGACACGTCCAACAGCAAGTCAGACTGACTTTTCTCCTCCCTGAGGGACACATGGTCCGTCTCAGTGCGAATGATTAGATGTATGTGGTCATCATTCTAGTTTGGCACACAGCAGCGGCCACAGGCCAGGCTTCCAACCAGTCCCCCACCAGTCTGTGCCCACTTGCCTTGACTTGTTTTTCCCTCAACTAACAATGCTGTGCTGCCAACTTCGCCAGCCTCACACACACATATATATATATTATATATATATATATATATACAAATCCACGCGCACCCCCTTTGACAAATTGATTGTTTAGTAACTAGTAAGTACATGCCACCCTTCTAGCCAGCAGTTCTGTTCCTTTGCAAAACTTGCAAGGCGTGTAGGCCCGGTTTGCTTCAATGCAAGGCCTTAACAAAACGAAAGTTGTTCTGAACATCTTCAAGTTCTGTTCAGATCTCCAAGGTTTGAAGTTCATCATGGGCTTGCGAGGTGGCCACGCGGTACATCGCCACAAACTCAAATCCCATACACACCTCACAAAGTCTGCATTCCATCAAGGATCGCCAGCAAGAAAATGTTTGCTGGACAGTGCCAACAATAGCCTGTGACACGACACGTCCAACAGCAAGTCAGACTGACCTTTCTCCTCCCTGCTTCCAACCAGTCCCCCACCAGTGCTGCGCCCACTCGCCTTGAGTTGCTTTTTCCCTCAACTGTCAGTGCTGTGCTGACAAGTTCGCCAGCATGACAAGCACAGAGAGAGAGAGAGAAAGGGAGACCCACTTGCTTGCGCCCTTCCACAATGTGACTGCCTAGTAGTTACATGCAACCCTTCTAGCCAGCAGTTTTGTTCTTTTGACAAACGTACAAGGCGTGCACCCGGCTTGCTTCAATGCAAGGCCTCAGCAGAACGAAAGTTATACTGAACTTCTTCAAGTTCAGTTCAGATCTCCAAGGTTTGATGCTTGTCTTCCAAGGCATTCCAGGCAGCCACGCCGTGCAAAAGCGATCAGGAAGCCAGCAAGCTGTCACGTCATGCTGCAGTGTTCAGACACAGTTCAGCATTTCAGCAAAACCCTCACACTCAGAAGCCCGAACACACCACTGCACCCGTGCCAAAACCCTATGGCTGCTTGGCCTCAGCAGAACGAAAGTTACACTGAACATCTTCAAGTTCAGTTCAGATCTCCAAGGTTTGAAGTTCATCATGGGCTTGCGAGGTGGCCACTCGGTACATCACCACAAACTCAAATCCCATACACACCTCACAAAGTCTGCGTTCCATCAAGGATCGCCAATGGTTGGATAGCGCCAACAATAGCCTGTGACACGACACGTCCAACAGCAAGTCAGACTGACTTTTCTCCTCCCTGAGGGACACATTGTCCGTCTCAGTGCGAATGATTAGATGTATGTGATCATCCTTCCACCTTGGCACACAGCAGCGAAGTTACATGCAACCCTTCTAGCCAGCAGTTTTGTTCTTTTGACAAACGTGCAAGGCGTGCACCCGGCTTGCTTCAATGCAAGGCCTCAGCAGAACGAAAGTTATACTGAACATCTTCAAGTTCAGTTCAGATCTCCAAGGTTTGATGCTTGTCTTCCAAGGCATTCCAGGCAGCCACGCCAGGCAAAAGCGATCAGGAAGCCAGCAAGCTGTCACGTCACGCTGCAGTGTTCAGACACAGTTCAGCATTTCAGCAAAACCCTCACACTCCGAAGCCCGAACACACCACTGCACCCGTGCCAAAACCCTATGGCTGCTTGGCCTCGGCAGAACGAAAGTTACACTGAACATCTTCAAGTTCAGTTCAGATCTCCAAGGTTTGAAGTTCATCATGGGCTTGCGAGGTGGCCACGCGGTACATCGCCACAAACTCAAATCCCATACACACCTCACAAAGTCTGCATTCCATCAAGGATCGCCATCAAAAAAGGGTGGCTGGACAGCGCCAACAATAGCCTGTGACACGACACGTCCAACAGCAAGTCAGACTGACTTGTCTCCTCCTTGAGGGACACACTGTCCGTCTCAGTGCGAATGATTAGATGTATGTGATCATCCTTCCACCTTGGCACACAGCAGCGAAGTGACATGCAACCCTTCTAGCTAGCAGTTTTGTTCTTTTGATAAACGTACAAGGCGTGCACCCGGCTTGCTTCAATGCAAGGCCTCAGCAGAACGAAAGTTATACTGAACATCTTCAAGTTCAGTTCAGATCTCCAAGGTTTGATGCTTGTCTTCCAAGGCATTCCAGGCAGCCACGCCATGCAAAAGCGATCAGGTAGCCAGCAAGCTGTCACGTCATGCTGCAGTGTTCAGACACAATTCAGCATTTCAGCAAATCCCTCACACTCACACGCGCACACAACGATCGTCAGAAGCCCCAACACACCACTCCACCGGCTGCTTGGCCTCAGAAGAACGAAAGTTATACTGAACATCTTCAAGTTCAGTTCAGATCTCCAAGGTTTGAAGTTCATCATGGGCTTGCGAGGTGGCCACTCGGTACATCGCTACACATGCAAATCTCATACGGACCTCACAAAGTCTGCATTCCATCAAGGATCGCCAGCAAAGAATGTTTTTCTGGACAGTGCCAACAATAGCCAGTGACGCGACGCGTCCAACAGCAAGTCAGACTGACTTTTCTCCTCTCTGAGGGACACATTGTCCGTCTCAGTGCGAATGATTGGATGTCTGGGATCATCCTTCCACCTTTGCACACAGCAGCGACCACAGGCCAGGCTTCCAACCAGTCCCCCACCAGTCCCCACTCGCCTTGACTTGCTTTTCCCTCAACTGACAATGCTGTGCTGCCAACTTCGCCAGCATCACAAGCAGAGAGAAAAGGAGACCCACTTGCTTGCGCCCTGCCACAATGTGACTGCCTTGTAGTTACATGCAACCCTTCTAGCCAGCAGTTTTGTTCTTTTGATAAACGTACAAGGCGTGCACCCGGCTTGCTTCAATGCAAGGCCTCAGCAGAACGAAAGTTATACTGAACATCTTCAAGTTCAGTTCAGATCTCCAAGGTTTGAAGTTCATCATGGGCTTGCGAGGTGGCCACGCGGTACATCGCCACAAACTCAAATCCCATACACACCTCACAAAGTCTGCATTCCATCAAGGATCGCCATCAAAAAAGGGAGGCTGGACAGCGCCAACAATAGCCTGTGACACGACACGTCCAACAGCAAGTCAGACTGACTTGTCTCCTCCCTGAGGGACACACTGTCCGTCTCAGTGCGAATGATTAGATGTATGTGATCATCCTTCCACCTTGGCACACAGCAGCGAAGTGACATGCAACCCTTCTAGCTAGCAGTTTTGTTCTTTTGATAAACGTACAAGGCGTGCACCCGGCTTGCTTCAATGCAAGGCCTCAGCAGAACGAAAGTTATACTGAACATCTTCAAGTTCAGTTCAGATCTCCAAGGTTTGATGCTTGTCTTCCAAGGCATTCCAGGCAGCCACGCCATGCAAAAGCGATCAGGAAGCCAGCAAGCTGTCACGTCATGCTGCAGTGTTCAGACACAATTCAGCATTTCAGCAACACCCTCACACTCACACGCGCACACAACGATCGTCAGAAGCCCCAACACACCACTCCACCGGCTGCTTGGCCTCAGAAGAACGAAAGTTATACTGAACATCTTCAAGTTCAGTTCAGATCTCCAAGGTTTGAAGTTCATCATGGGCTTGCGAGGTGGCCACTCGGTACATCGCTACACATGCAAATCTCATACGGACCTCACAAAGTCTGCATTCCATCAAGGATCGCCAGCAAAAAAGGGTGGCTGGACAGCGCCAACAATAGCCAGTGACAAGACACCTATGACAGCAAGTCTGACTGACCTTTCTCCCCCCTGAGGGACACAGCGCCCTTCTCACTGCAAAGGTCTGTGGTAGTCATTCCACCAGCGATGTTGCGGGGCTCACTTGTCCTTTCTCTTCCTTTGTGTCGCAGCGTTCTGATGCCGAGTGATTTTGTGCATGATGTGTACAGAGGGGAATGCATTTGACCCAAAAACTCCCAGCGAAAGGCACCAAACAAGGGTGCATTGTGCAAGCGAGTCCCTGAGATTCAATGTTTAATTGTGTTTTGGTTACACAAGCGCTTTAGGATCTTGGTTCGCTTGCGGCTGCAGCCGGACATGCCATTGCGTGCTTGGAACAGTGGCAATGGGAGGCTTCGCCTTAGGCTGCGACGAATCCAGAAAAAGCCACCAGCGACCATGTGCTGGTGTCCCCTAGCTTTGACAACTCGCCCCGTCTCCCCCTCTCGTCCCGCACCTTGAAGGGCCAGGTGGCCACAACCAGTGCCGCGAGGCCCGCCAAAGGCCCCAAGGTCTGCAGGAAGGAAGGCTGGTAGTCCTCCCGTGCACGCGAGCTACGACCGTGCTTCTTTGGCACGCTGATACTGGAAAGGGTCCACCTTGGGGGCTCGCTCTAGGACCGGGTGCAGCATCTATTCTGATCTTGGATTTGGGGCAATCCGGTCTCCTTGTACCATGCAAAGGCTATGGCATAGTCGTGGACGTCCCCCTCCCCCCCTCGCCTGAGCGTCCTCGGTGGCCTCCGGCTGGCCAGGTCCTTTGGGCGCCCCAGACACGTGGTCCACCTGCCCAGCCAGCCACATGGGCACCAAGCAGCAGGTGTAGCTCGAACTTTTGGAGAAGTGGCTGTCATGGAAGCATCATGGAAGTCCTTTTCAGTCTGTCCTGAAATGGAAGCATCTGAATCCAATGGTCTGACAGAAACATCCCGTTCCGCGCGTCGCCTCGATGTAGAGTCGCTTGCCGAACTGCGGTAGGCGGTAAACAGCGCCTGGACGTTCGGAGGGCCGCGCCCTCCCTGCTCACTCCGGGCTTGTGACTGCAAAATCAGCAACCTGATCGATAAGCCCACCCGCCAACCTACACACCAAAAAACACACGGGCCCAGCCTTTGCCCTGCATTCCTGGCCAGCTGTCGCCCTTGAGCACGGTCATCCAGCCCGGCGGCACTTGCTTGTAGGCCTGCTGTCTTCCATGTCCAAAACTGACCCACCAGCGGGACCTGCAGCCTCGACGGCAACTTGTAGCCTTGAAAGCCCCTTGGCGATGTATTTCTTGTATCTGAATGCTGGTATCTCGGGATTGTTTTTCCGTCAAAGGCTGGCAAAGAGAAGCCAGACCCATAGGCCCATAGGCCCACAGGCCCGGGCAGACCGCCGCAAGCTTTGGCCCCAAGCTCCGCCTGGGAGACGTTGGTGCCCATCTTGGTGAGGCTCGCGGCCCAGGCCTTGCGTCCGGAAAGCGGGGTTGACGTGCCAAGGGTGCGTGACACATCGATCCGGAAGTTGGCAGCTGTCTACCGCTTGTTCCAACCTGAAGTGACACGAATGGCCCGAATCCGAATCCCGCCTGCGAGTCCATGCGCCGCATCTGCTCTGCGGAGAGCAGCTGCTCTGCCGAGAACTGGCCAACAGGCATGTGGGACCCAAGCTGCGCAAGCGGTCGAGCCTCTTCGGACAATGGTTGTGAAAAAAAAAGTTGACGCCCGTTGCCTATTGTCCATGCTCTATTGGCTTGTGGCCACGAGCAACGTTTTCATGGTGTCTGCGTGGGCTGTCATAGTTTCAGCTCGCTTTGGGACCCTACATGAACTTTGCGCCAATGCTGAAGCATCCTCATCCTCTTCCTGTCTAAGACTGACTTCAACCGTTTCGGGATCCTACGGAAGGATGCCGAGCTCTCGAGCTGGCTGGCAAGCCACATAGGTGTGCAATCCCGCTGTGACCCTCACCGACACAGCTTCAGAAAAGAAAAAAGAAACATGCGTCTTTTGCGCAGCTCCTAACCAACAGGCTGAAAGGCATAAGGACGCACGCAAGAACAACTGCCAGGTTCACCTTCTGATTGCCTCCGTTTCCCAACAGGCTGCCTCTTAAAGAAAATCGACGCGGAACATCGTTTCAAAGAACAGGGCGTCGGTGCCCATCTGAAACATCCGGTCAGTATGTGGTGAAAACGTCCCCATATGGTTTGCAGTGCCCTTTCGCCCACGGCCTTCTTTCGGTCCACGAACTGTTGCGGAATGAACTCCAGAGGCTCCTTGACACCGCGCACGAACGGCGATTTAGCGTCAACACCCACCGGCCATCCTGATTTCGGACAAGACCCTCAACCCCCTGTGTCCGGGAAACAGGGTCAGGACCTGTGAAAAACCAAGAGCTACAGAGCTTTGGAAAACCAACCCACGCGGCTTGCACGCGGATGGCCCCCCGAGAAAATCAACGGCCGAAAGCTGTTGGACACGCGAATGCAGGCCGAGCTGCGCCAGCCAGCAGGAAGATCGCCCGAAGGGAGGTCTCTTTGGAGGGGGCCTCCTGGTCATCGGCGCAGGCGATGCGCCACCTCAGAGTTCGAGGTCCGAGTTTGCTCTCTGAGCACGGGCTCCAATCCGAGCCCCTGGAATCTCCCCTGAAAAGAGCAGAGAGGGCGGCGGCGCAATCTCTCCATCTCTCTCCCTCTCTCCCTCTCGCTCTCTCTCTCCCTCTTTCTCTCTTTCTCGCCCAAGCACGGACGGGGGAGAAACAACAAACCACGGGTGATTCCGCGGATCGCTCCGTGCCTAGGCTTCCGCGCTTCAGCTTGCTGGAGTTGGCCGAGCTCTGCACAGCCCACATGACCATGATAGCCTAGCAACCCCAGCGGTTTGCCAACGTCTCACAAATGCCGCGCGGGTCTGCATGCGTCCCATTGACGGCATCTTGACTCAACCTCTCCCTTCCCCTTTCAGCGCAGGCGTTTGGAAAGCACCCGCCTCGAGCACAGTTTGCCGCACCAGCTCACGGTACTCCTGGCCCGTTTCTTCCTTTTTGTCTCGCAGGAAGGGAGGGAGGGAAATGCGGTGATCAGTGATCGCACGGGCATGGAACATGGACACCGCAATGTCGACAGTCGACTCTGCTGCATTGCTCTGCCCATGCTGGGCGGGGATCCCCTCAAGCCAGGTCCCCTTGTGGAACTGCTGATCGGGCCTTGCTCCTAGCTTCCCATGGGGCAGTGTGTGGAAAGGTGGCCATGCGACTGATGAGAAGCCTGGGAGGTGACATGGTGCACCGCACAAAGCAAAACCAGAGGAAATCCTACCCATCACCCGTGGGCCGGGGCCTTCTCCAGCAGCCGCGGCGGCAGCTGGGACACCACCTCCCGCAGCAGCTTGGCGGTGCCTGCCTCTAGTGAAACGGGTTGATGCACTGCTGTCACACGTGCAGCACATCCTCTGTGGGATTATCTCTTGGCCTTGCATCTTTCTTCATTTGCAAACATACTCAGGTTGCTTGTCTGAAAAGGCCCAGTAGTCAACCCTTGGACGGGGCATGGCGTGTTGCGCTTGGGGCGTGTGGTTGGGTGGTGTGTTTGCCGCCGCTAATCTACATGATGATGTACGCTGCATTATGGCTCGCAAGGGTCAAGAAATCAATCCAAAGAAGCTGTCAGCAAGGGCAATTGGTGGGCCTGTCACCCCCGGGGCTCCCTGCGTTGCTCTCTGCCCTTGCTTTGAGCTCCTCGGGAGTGCGGAGGCTGTTGATCCTGGGCGCAGCAAATGTGGCCCGGGGCGTCGTTCTAAAACGGGAGACCGTTGCAACGTGGAAGAATCAAACACCTGGCACCGTAGTATGACAAAGAATGTGAAAGGCACAGCATTCAGAATCACTAGCCTCTTTAACAAAAACCATCAAGAAGTCCGGACTCCTCACCCAACAGCGGTTGATCCCATCCCACACGTGCTGACCCCAGGCCCCTTCCACTCGCTGGGGAGAAAAAAGCGGACGAGGCGCTGCATGGTTTGCAGCACCTCCGGCTGCTGCATCTGCTGCTGCAGCTCCTCGTGGCTCGGGAGCTCGTCCAGCGGCACGCTCCACGACTGGCGGGGGGACGGGGGACGGATTGGCTGGCGATTGGCCAGCCAGAAACGGCGGCAAATGGGGCGACCGGGGACTGGAAATGCGTGGGGACTGCGTTGAGGGACTGCTGGACTGCCTGCCCCACTGTGTTTGCCGCTGGCCCTGGCCGCTGGCCATTTGCAAGTGAAACAAACTCAAGGAATGGGGGTCCAAAGGGGAGGGGCCTCCTAAGGAACACTACAGCCTGAGAAACCCGAAGGCCGCTTGGACCCCGTTGCTGCCGGAACTATATACTGAAGGGATATAACACTCCACATTCCTGCTGCTCGTGAAACCCACCTTTTTTGCGCAAGCAAACGCAACCTGCTCCCACCCAACGGTTGAACTCGAACCTGTGCATCAAACTCCCTGCCCAAACCACCCTCCCAACCCGCCAAACCAGCACCGCTGGCCCACCGCGCCGGCTCCAACGGATCTAAGTCCTCAGGGGTCGCCACGCCACTGATGTCAAAGAGCGGCAACTCCTATGCAGAACTGTCCCTGTTGTTGTCTGATCACGTGTTTCAAGATGCTTCTTGGAAGAATAAGGAGCCGCTTCATGATCGATTCCTCTTTGCCAGCCACTTAACCTCTGCCACAATGCCGCCCACAGCCGTCACTCAAACAAAGCTGGAGATTGGTTGCACAGTACACTGACCCGGATCAGGGTCCCAGGGTCAACATCAAATGCGGCACCGGACATGCTCATCAGGAGGCGGCTTTATTCCGGCGTCTGAGGTTGCGCGCAACCCCTCATCCACTGCCTCTCCCTGGCCCGCGTTTGCCCCAGGTCCTCCAATCTCTCCTGCCAGGCCTGCAACAGGAGGCCCCTCCCTCGAACAACTACCGCCTTTTCCTGGCAAGAATGGCCATCCTGCCTTGGTCCTCTTATCCGACTGCTCCCTTCGGCTCACGATGCAGATGTCCGCGTTGGGATCTTGCACCACTGGTCCTCAGCAAAATGATGCTGCCTGGAGCAGGCAAACACAAAGAATGAAATGCAAAGACTGGCAAACACACCGACCGGGTAGGGCCGAAGCCAATTCGCTCGGATCCCCTACAAGAAGGCCGCGAGCGCCGACCCCGGGCCTAAGTGCCTCAGGGGCACGGAGTGCGCTGCTGAAGGGCACCGTGGTGAAGCCCTGTTTCTTGCCCTTCTTCAGCCACCGCCTCACGGATCGGGCGGCTCGGACAGATCGGACGGATCAGCCACATGTGTCCTTAAATGGGCCGGGGGTGGGGGCGCCAATGTTCTACCTTGCTTGATGGTTTTGGGATGGCGAAAATATGTGCTCTTGCGGCGCATCCTTTCACTCCTGGAGTTTAGGGACACGTTGCATCTCCCAGCCGAGTCGCCTCAGCACAAGGTGTCCCGGCACCAAGTCCTGGGCAAATGGGCATGACGCCTGATTGCTGTAAACTGCCTGGCACTACTACGGGTCAATGCTCGAACCTGCCACCGCCACCACCACCACCACCACCACTGCCCGGGTCAGGCTGAAGCCCCGAGCCGGATTTCATGAAGGCACAGCTGCTCAGCAAATCCCCACCCTGTTTTTCTGCCCCTAGACCCAGCCTGGCGCTGCAGGCGCTGGAACGCCCGCACTTCTTGGTACAAATGAGGGGCATTGATCTTCTTCTCCTGGCGAATGCAGTGGCCCAAAAGCGGCCGCTAGTGGCCCGCAAAAGTGCACCGGCGCCCAAAACTGAATGGATGCAAGGCACTGGATCGGCCCTTTACAAACAGCCAAAAGGTGGAGTTTGGTATCCTTGCAAACCACAAACCCTGCAGCAATTGCACATTGTCTGGCTTTTGCTGGCCCATCGAAATAATTTGAGATGTCCCCAGTCACACCGGCCCCACCCCCCCATCCTCCACCCCAACCCCCCCCCCCCAGTGCCTCGGCAGCCTCAATCTCCTCCTCGAGCTGCTTCAACCTCTTGGCTTCCTCCTGGAGAGAGGGCAGGGCCGTTGGCTGCGGCCCTCAAAGAAATCTTGAAAAGCCGACTGCCACCGCTTGCCCACATCTCTGGAGGCTACTTTTGCTCCTCGCTGTGCCCAAACCTGGTGAAAGGTCTTTAAAAAAAGAAGTGTTGAATGAAAACAAGATCTCACTGCTAGGCACCGTTCAACACTGATATGATATACATATGTGTGTGTGTGTGTGTGTGCGTGCACATTCATACTTGTATAGCATACATCTATTGTCTATCTATCGGTCTATCTATCCACCTATCTACTTATCTATCTGTCTATCTATGTGCTCCAAGAACATCTGACACAGACGGCCGACGGAAAAGGATGGCGGAGCACAAACTGCCTAAGGCAGGGGCCACAGGCCCAACGCGATCCAAATGCAAATTCACACTTCAAATACCCGAGGCAAAACCTTTTTCGCGCTTTGGATGAAGCCCTTTTCAGGGCACAGACCTGTCTCTTTTCAGCCCGGCCTCGTGCCAGGGTCATGTGCATCTGAAAAAAGATGGGGAGGCCCAAGCTAGATTGGAAAGAGGCAAATGACAAGATCTGACCCAACTCTCAAACTGAATCTGAGCCGGAGCTCGTCATGTTGAAAGATTCATGCGTGCAAGACATGACCGTCAAACTTAAACTGCAAAAATTGTGTTTGCAAATAGGCTGAAACACCAAAACTGTCTAGACGCCAGAACCTTGTTCTCAAATGTCCTTCGCACTGTGCTAAGGTAAGACAACTGCTTCCCTCCCCCCCTTGTTTGATGTTCTTTACGAACACTGCATTTGGGGGACCCAAATAAGCATATATATCTCTCTCTCTCTCTCTCTCTGCCTCCAGTGCCATCTATCCATTTACTCTTTTACGACTCATTTTAGTTGTTTACTCTCTATTCATTCTATATTGATATCCTACATGCTAAATCTCATTGCCACAATGTCCTGCATGCAATCTCAGAATGCGCGTTTCGTGCTTCCAAGAGCCTCCCCGCTAGGAACCCCCCCTTCCGCAGCTTCCGTCGCCCTCCTCTTCCGCCTCGCGGCGCTCCCTCTCTTCCTGGGCCAACTTCTCCTTTCTGCCGCCACGCTTGGGCGTCGCCACCTCCACCTTGGGTGACCCCAGCTTGGCGCCCCATTTCAGTCTTCACAACCTTCTCATGGCTTTGGCACTCCAAGAAAAACTGAACAGCAAAGGGTGACAATCGAATCGCACCCAGTTGCAGGCGCCCTGGGCGCCCGGGCATCGAACTTCAGGCCCTTCATGGCGGTTCGGTCATGGGTCAGCGCTTTCTGCACACCCACGAAGGACAGCGCCTTGATGCCAGAGGGCGAGCGCGTAATTTCGAAGGGTTTGGTCCGGTGAGAAAAGCTATGTCAGTTACCTCTTCGCCTGTGCAAGACCTGGGTCTTGCAAAAAAGCAACCGTCCGACCAGCGCATGCCAGGATGCGACTGAACCCAGCAGCGCCACCAGAACCACCAGCGGCAGGCCTTGGCAACTGTTGGCTTGCCCGGCACCGCCCCTGAGCCTGTGAACATCGCAATGCACTGGGGCCCCTTGTTAAAAGCCCGCCCGCGTCTGGATCGCTATGGAAAGTGAGTGCCAAGGACCGCGCGTCGCCGCGCACGCGCCTGCAACCAGCCAGCATAAGCTCAGGCCTACAGCCTATCGTGCAACAATGACCGACAAGGTGTGGCAAGTTCTCACGGGGGCGAGATGTCCAACCAAGCATGAAGGCTGCGGCTTTTTGCACATCAATCCATGAGCTGCAAGAAGCCCTGCGTTGCATCAGCAGCCACCTCCTGCCACGCTCACAAATTCAATTCACTGATCCAAAGCCTTGAAAGCTCAAGGCTCTCCTCCCGCGGTGGGAAGGTGGGGGGCGCTTTCGGCTGCATTTCTGGAGGCAGCCGTGGGCCAAAGGGCCGTGAGGGCGGCCCTGGCCAAGACATGTCCCGAGCAGTGCAGGTGCATCGAGGGTAGCACGGCTTTGGTGAGTGTAAAGCCGACACTTCTCTCCCCTCCCGTGCCAAAATGTTCAAGAGCTGGCAAGCTAAAAGAAACATAGTTGCATCCTTGGGCCTGTCGAGGCGAACTTCTCGCAACCCTCCTTCCCCACTCGCCTTTCCGCTCCGGCTGTATGGTCTCTGCCCCAAGCCACGCTTCGATGAGCACCCGCTCGGCGCTGGCACCCTCGTGCTGGCCTCAGGAGCCAGAAAGCTGAAACAAGGGCGAGGCATGAACCGTCGCTGCCTATTTTCCCAAAATATCAGCGCCAGGGTTTTGCTTCCCCCCCGAGCCCCCGGCAAATTGCACAAAGCTGCAAGCCTCGCCCATCCTCCCAAGGACGTAAGCTCACTGGACCACTTGCTATGCTCCAACCCTGCCTCCTCGATGCGCCGCCGGCAGGCCCCGCAGAAGGGTCCGTGCCCACAGGGGGACGCAAACTTCTCGTCGCCCACAGCCATCGCGCCCTGCAGCGGGACTCGGGGCAGTGAGGCACCGAGCATTGCTCAGGGGACTGAAAAACAAAACATGCTTGTGCAGGCGCGTGCGTCTTTAATGACCTTCCCACAGATCCCAGGTTTCTTTCGGACACTCTTAGACTGCCGGACAGCCTTTGATGACAAAATGTCAAGTAACTGCCGCACCTTGCACAAGCAGCACTCTGACCACGGCCCATCCTGAGCATGGCACGGATTCATCCACTGTGGTCTGCCCCTTCACATTGGGCCCATGCCATGCATAGCTGCTCCACTTATTCCTCCCGTGGCCCCCCTTCACATTGGGCCCATGCCATGCATAGCTGCTCCACTTATTCCTCCCGTGGCCCCTGACTGCAGCCCAGGGTGCTGGTGGCCGCTCCACTTTGGGAGCGGAAACCGCCTTGCCACCCTTCCGCATCTGCCTGAGCCCGAAGCCAGCCGACCAGTGGAGTAAGTCATAGTGTGGCGAAAGCATGGCATGGCCGCGGGGGCCCTTCAAGCCTTCAAGGAACCAAATGGGGCCATAAGAGTCCATTGAACTCCATGTTGCATCGCACTGATACACTTGCAACATGTGACAAGTCCTTCGGATTTGTTCTTGTCAAACCGAAGCGCCACCGAAACATCCGAAGCTCTTGAGCTTGAGAGCTTAGCCTCACCGGAGCCTCAGGCCCAGCCACAAAGCCCAAGCCCGAGGCCCAGCCCCGCCTCGGACCCCTCTCCGCCTCGATCTGCGCCTTGAGGTCTGGCCCCAGCTCGCTGGGCCCATAGCCTGGCGCGGGGCGATCGGCACTGGCCACGTGCCAGCGGCATGTCCAGCAACCCAACAGTTGAGACGGGTCGGGCGCGAGAAGCTGGCAGCTTCTCGCAACGTCGGGGAATCACTTGAGCTGGGGCCAAGCACATTTTGCAAGAGCAGGACAATAGCAAAAACATGCCATGGGCCGAGCTTTGTGGTGAAGGTTGGGGAAGTCGCCCTGTGTTCACGCCAGGGCCGAAAAGAGATGACCCGAGGTCAAGGCAACTCCCAACCCATTTCCGCTTCCACATGCGACAGCCGGAACAAACTGCAACCGCCAAAAGCCCAACTCACTCCTTGGCCCACCCACCCGCACACACACACACACACCAAAACATGCCAGCGCCACGACCAATTCGGTCAAACGCTGCGCGGACTTTCGGGTCCTCTGGGTCGAGTGCCAGCGCATCCTTGTAGGCAAAGTAGGCATCCCTGCCCAGGAGAAGGAATCTCTCTCATTTGGACGCAACATAAAAGCTGCCTTCTTAATCTGAGCTGGCAGCCAGTTTCATGAGCACCCAAATTTGTTGTTTGGCACCTGGCTGAACCCTTTGCCTTTGCTGCAGGAAAGTATCCTCGAAGAAGCCGTGCTGGGGCACCAAGAGCAAGGATCACTGCGGCAAGCCTGTTGGCCGCCCAAACAAGGCAAAAAGAAACTGAAGCTACAGAGAGGGTCCGCTGTCCTTCCGGCTGCTGTTGTTTCTCTGATGCGTAAACCGTGGATTTCCCAAGGTCAGCGTGGCCCAAAAGGGCCTGGAGCCTTGCCTGAACCGCTCCAGCGCCTCGAGCGCACAGCCGCGCCGGAAGTGTGCCTGCGCAAAAACCAGACCCAACAAGCCCTGGCCATCTCCCTTCGAATGAAGGCCCGATCCAAAACCTGCTTCCAGTGGACCCACCGGGACTTCTCAACTTTTCAGCAACACACTGCTCCCAGTGATCCGGGTACCAGCTGTGCGCAATGTCACAAGCACCCTTTCTTTTTCGGCATGGTGGCATGATTCTGACCGGTCTGCTGGTGAGGGCGCGTCAGCCACTGTAATCTTTGCCCGAGGGAGGCACACTGGGCCCGTGCCCAGAGCAGTCCGGATTGTAATTCAGCTCACGAAGGGGAGAGCCCTTCAGCTGCGTCGGGGTTGCGGCTTTGGCCAAAAACAGGCCTTCAGCGACCATACTGAAATCCAACATGTGGAGCAACCCCGAGGCAGGTAGCGGAAAACTTCGCGAAGTTGGGTTGCAAGCAAGTTCCTGGGCTGAAAGGCGTATTGGCCACGAGCATGTGTCAATGGCACGCCTGGACAGCCAGCTGTGCTGGGGGTAGGATGCGACATGAAACTTCTACTTGCAACAAGATGTCTGGGACGAATCGGTGCGGCTTGCAACGCCTCAGCTGTGCGGCCAGCCGACGTGATTGCTGGATGGCCGTCTCCGCTTGTGAATTCCGTGCTGCGAATTTGCAGCAGGTTTGCTACATAAAAGCTGGAACATTAATTGTCACATAGTCTGCAAAATTCGCGCGTAGCTCAAAAGTTGACAAAGACGGCAAAAGCCTGACAGCGGACTTTATTACAGGGGTGGTCAATAAAGGCAATCAAGCCTTTCAGAATGCAGTTCTGGCACCCCATTTCCCCTGCCCGGCCCACATCCAGTGTGCATGCCGAGCCTAGGAACCCAAGAAACGGTTTGTGTCATAACTTCCTTGCACCTCCGCCCCAGGGCTAGCCGCCCACAAAAACGAAACATGGCTCAGTGCACGTCACGCCTCAAGGCATTACAGTGCTCTCGGGCATGATCGGGGTGGGCGGCAGGGTGCTCCAGTCAGAGACTTGGTGCACCTTGTGGCAAGCTGGGCAAGGCCCCCCACCGCACCCTGCGCAGGAAGACCCCTCAGGTTCAGGGTGAAGAGCTTGCTTGCGCAAGCAAGTGCTGACCGAATCTGCAAGCAAGCCCCGCACCCATGTCATGCACACCGGACACCTGACCATGGGGTGCCGTTTGAACAGTTCATAGAATGCGGCCATTGGGTTTAGACGCGGACAAAGTGACAACTGCGCCAGTTGCTGGGACGAACTTTGGTTCTCAAGTTTCAGCTCAACATCGCAGAACTCCTTCTCCCCCTGCCCAGCCAGGGCTCAACTCCCTACTGAATAGGCTCTTTGAAGGCTAATAGTTCACACAGAAGCTGCCTGTCGAACTTCATCCAGCCCACACCCCCACCCGTCCCAGGCACGCGGTTCCGGCGCTGCAGCTGTTCCGCTGTCTGCTTGGAGATGCACTTCGGTAGGGGTAGCTGCCTGGGCATCGCCTGCACAAAAAGAATGTCCCATGCTTCGCTGATCTCCATATGCCGTTTCTCTTTGAAACCAAGCCCTCCTCACGGCCAGCTTGGACGAACAAAAAAAAAGCGACCCCTTCAACACAACCAAAGAAATAGCCCCGCCAAAGGAAGACACGCGTCTGTATCCGCTGATGCCAGCAGGTGAGGGCTGAGGTGGGGGGAAGAAGCTGTGGCAAGCAGTGCTCCGGAGGATACTTTGCAGTACTGAGAGTGTGCTGGCTTGCTTTGAACGCTTGAACACCTGCTATCTGCCCTTGCCTGGGACACCTCGTTGGTGGTGAACTGCTTTTTCAGGGCATAGTAGTTGTCCGTAAGCAGCAGGTTGTCCTGCCGAACTGCCACAAGCCACAAGCGTCCGTCCTCTCTGCCCCTTGCTGCCGCTTTGGTGAAAGCAAGTGCCAAGTTCCCAGCCCACTGTCACCTCCCTTTTCCCCCCCCCTCCCCCCCCCGATGCCCACCCGCCTGACCCTTCAGGAACCCCGGGGTGACCACCAGGCCGTACTCGTTGTTCTCCATGGAGAACTCGAAGGCGACCGCCCCGCTCACGAAATCCCCCATCTTGTCGAACATGGCCCCCACCTCACAGGAACGCAGCTACTGCTGAACTCCAGGGTGGTCTTCCCATTGGTGAAGGACAGTTGGTTGATGTTTGCGGGACAAAGGCCGAAGTTTGTGCTGCATCAACATGTGAAGGCGCTTTGGGGCAAAGCTGCATGAGCAAAAAAGCCTTGGGTGGCAGAGCAGGCGTCGGTGGCAAAGTAGCCAGCAGTCCAGTTGAATGGCAACCCATTTGTCGAGGCCCTGGCGCCCATGCTTGCCGTGTTTTCTTTTCTGAAAAGGCGCCCCTGCCAAGTGTTGCCTGGAACTGAAAGCGCTCGCATGCCGAAAGCCGGCCCGGCCCGGCCGCCCGGCACGCCTGTCCCCAGGTCCGGCCGCCCTTGTAGGATGGGCAATGCGTCTCGAAGGCCTCGGACGGGAATCGCTGAGAACTCTGCGGCACCATACCCCGGCATCGGGGATCGGCCAAGCTATGAACAGAGCGGTTCAGTAAGCACCGCATGTGCGGCGGTCTGGGGACCCAGCGCCCGTGTTGCAGCCGAACTCGGTGAAGAGAAAGGGCTTCGGCAGGGTCCGGAACCTCGACCCCAGTTAGAAGTCTGGCTCTTGAACAACGCAAATTACATGTGCCAAAAATACAGCACTAGGCAAGCATCCCTCGCTTGGCTGTCCCCCAAACACAAAGAAAACAAAACCACTTCCAGCCCAGGCACTCCCGGGTGATGCTCATGTAGGGCGAGAACAGGAAGCTCTCAGCACCGTTGGGGCTGAAGTAGGCCTCAGGGAACGCTGCAACTTCAACGCCACTGCCGGACGAAGGAGGGGCCCAAAGCGGCTTGTTAACTCTGTGGTTTCCACGGGAAGACCGTTGGCAATCGAGCGTTGGCCGAGCAACTGGGTCGCACCAGGAGTAGACATTCAGCCCGAAAGCGTCCACCACATCATCGGGGCTTTCCAACTCGCAGGTCAGGTATTGAGCGATCTCCAGGCGGTCTGAGCCACCCTGATCCTGCACTTTGCATCCAATGTCATGTAGGGCCCTGCATTGAGTAATGTTTTCATCATGCCAGCCAACCATGAGATGATTTCCAGGGCCCTTTAGATTTCACGGCGAGCAAGCGAAAGCCGGCGAATGCCGCACAAAGCCACCTGCATACCTGACGGCACTGGAATGGGTCTGCCTACTGGTCAGGGAGTGCTTCTTGTGGTCTCAGCTAGCTTCGGACTTGGCAAAGGTCAGACCGCCCTGTCCTTGTTAGAGTAGATGAGGGGCACCTTGCGGTAGCCCTTCTCCCGCTGATAGCGGTGGATGTCTCGCGTCAGTGCCTTGATGCACGGGTATGCCGCGAACCCCTCCTTGTCCAGGTGATCGATTTCGTTGGCCACGACGAACATGAAGGTGTTGTCATACTTGCTGAACCTGAAGGCTAATGTGCATTGTGGATTGACTTGGGTGACATCCGCTTGCAAGCAACAATTCAGAGATGGTCCCCTTTCTGTTGGAGAGGATTCCTGGACACCATAGGGCTTGCGAGCCAACTGGCCGTAAGCCAGCAAGTAAAGCGCCGTGAAAACGCAGCTTCTCTCACTCGCGATAGCAATGTAACCATCACGCCCGTTCAAGTCCCGCCCACATTGCCATATCGGCCAGCCCCAAAGATGCATGCCAGTGCGCTGGTCCACGATGAGCTTGGCCGAGGTGAGCAGGTTCAGGCCCACGTGGCCGTAGTCCGGCAGGTCCTCGTAGTAGCACTGTGGGCTCGGCAGGGCCGGGAGAAAGCCCCAATCGCCTCCTCAGCCGTGGCACGCCGCTCGCGCAGGTCATTCTTGCTATTTTGGGACTTTGGGATGGCTGGGACGCTCAACAACCTCCGAACAGCCCAAAGCATCTCTGACAACCCGACCACAGACTGCCACATGTGGCATCGTGCGCCAGGCATCTGGTGAGGGGCACCATCACGGTCAAGCCCAGGGAGGCAGCCTGGCGCATGAACTTGTCATGGCTCTTCTCAGGGTCGATGTTGTACAGACGCACCACGTTGGCACCCAGGTCGGCGATCAGAGGCAAGTAGGTGCTGAACCTGAACAATTGAGAGCAACCTCTACCTCCCCCCCCCCACCAAACTCCAGCCCGATGATTACTCGCTAGCCGCCACGTTCGGTCCAAGGCTCTGATCCGCCATGTCATCAGACGCTGGGTCTTGGTAGTATTCCAAGGGAATGAACTTAGGAGTGCCCGGCTGGCAGATGGGATCGTGCACCCCGAGCACCTGCCCGAGAAGACGCAAGCCCCCACCTTGGGAAATTCCTACGCGCAAGCCGCGCGAAAACGCAAAGCCTGCCAGTTGCGCCAGGACGCCTGTCCATAATTGCCGTTCCTCGGATTGTAGGCCACTCCCTTGGCGAAGAATCGCTCACCAGTGACGGCGTCAAAGAGCAAGTTGCCCCTCACCTCCACCGGATGAGCAGCGCGACTGCTGCGGTTCGCAGCGAGGACTGCGCAGATTAGGGTTGCGAGGACGCAGGAAGATAGCATGGCGGGCAAAAAGTGCGCTGCTGGCACTGGGTACACCTTGAAGCTCAAAACTGGCTGCAGGGGAGTTCCCTGATTCTCGGATCACGCAAACCCTCGGCATCCCCCTTCCTGCACATGCACCCTTTCCACCCGTCACCCCAGCTTCAGTGACAAGCGCAGCCCATTGCACAAGATCTCTCAGGCCCCAGCTCTCCCTGAGCCCATCCTCTGATCTCGCCCTCGCCTTCACGTTGTTGGGGTTCAAGCGAAGTGCCTCGTCGCTGTACTTCAGCGCGAGCTGCAGCATTTGCTTGACCTCGAAAAGACTGACCCCTGAAAGGGCAAGGCAGGTCGTCCCCTGCTCAAGCTAGAAAAGTGTTCAGGGATTGACCCTCACACCGAGCTGCTCTAAGGGAAACAAAAACCCTGCCGCGCCTTTCGACACCCCCCGCCCGCTGGCCTTTGGGTCTGAGGCTCGCACCGAAGCCCAACGGCACTGCTCGGGCGCCACCTTCAGCGCCATGAGTGCGGCGTTGCCTGGAAAAAAAACAGACGACGCCCAGCCACAAATCAATTCTTGAAACGAGCTCCCTTCAGTGCCATCGATTTCGCTCAGTCCCTGTGGTCTTTCTCGAGGGCTCCCAAAGCAGCTATCGCAGATCGGCCCGGGGCTTGAAGCGCAAGGTTCAGTCAACTGAGAATCGACCAGCGCCACCATCTCCAAGCCAAGCTTGGGCCAAAACCAAGGCATCCCGGTGCTTCGAGCGACCCCACCGACTCGCTGGAAGTGCGGCCGAGACTCAGAGCACCGCCAGGCGATCAGCGCCGCCCTGCTCCAGGAGCTCCTGCGCGAGTGCAGGGGGACCTTCCTGGCCTCACGTCGGAAAATGCAGACACGGGCCAGACATGTCTGTGCAAGACTTCAAGGCCCTGGGTGATGCCTGCCGCACAGGGAAAATTGTGAAGGAATGCGGTAACAAAAGGGAGAAGCATGTGCAAAACTCTTCATGCATCTCCAAGTGCCAAGTTGCTCCAGCAGTAAATCAACCTCCAAGCTGCCAAGCCCTGGTGCCAACAGCCCTTGCCACGATCCAACATTTCTACAAGCGTCGCAGTGTGGAAGTGTCAGACCTGACCAGCTCCCACCCACCAGCCCACCGGGCAGTCCTCGTACATCCTGCCGAGCACGCGACCCAAGTGACACACACACACACATAGCCCGGAGAAAAAAAAAAGAGACAGAAAAAAAAAAAGACAGAGAGCGAGCGAGAGCGAGAGCGAGAGACAAAGAAAGAAGGAAGGAAGGAAGGAAGGAAGGAAAGAAAGAAAGAATCAAAGAAAGAAAGAAAGAAAGAAAGAAAGAAGGGAAGGAGGGAAGGAAGGAAGGAAGGAAGGAAGGAGGGAGGGAGGGAGGGAGGGAGGGGGGGAGGGAAGGAAGGAAGGAAGAAAGGAAGGAAAGAGAGAGAGGGAGAGAAAAGAAAAACAAATGGTTTGCCCAGCCAAACAAACACTAGCCGTCCTCAGCGCAGCCGCATATTCCCCGGCCCGCGCTTGGGCATCTGCCCGCTCCTACCCGAAACAATAAGAACTCGGCAAGGTGATGAATCCGTCGTGGTTGCTGTACAAGCGTGGTCAGTACCATTGCCTTCCCAGGTGCCACCCTCAATCCAGGTGAAATGCTGACATGGAAAAACGCCCGTCTGCACTCCTTCAGCGATGGTTCTTTGCCCACAGCTTCTTGGGCCGCCTGACATGTTCTATCCTAAGCAGATTCATTCGGTGCGGGCTGCCCTTCACGGGCACCCAGCTCCAACAAAAAGGCTGCAAGATGTGTGCACCCGTGCCTTTGGTTTGGGCCCCTCGTGCGCCAGCTTCGGATCATGGCCCGCAAGCGCCTCAGAGAAATGGGCGCCGTCGACAGCCGGAAGCATCGCCCGAAGAAGTGGGCAGCATTCGCACGAACAGTACACCATCCCTACTTGTTGCATCTTGGTTCAAAAAAAGAGTGGTGATCAAGATTGCTTTGAAGAGCCCTGCTTCTTGCATCCGTTGCTTGCACACAAACACCCACACACACACACACACACTTACACACTTATACACTTACACACTTACACACTTACACACTTACACACACACACACACACTCTTACACACACACTCTTACACACACACACTCTTACACACACACACACTTACACACACACACACACTTACACACACTTACACACACACACATACACACACTTACACACACTAACGCACACTTACACACACTTCCCCCCCCCCCCCCCCCCGCTTTCCCACACTTGCACACACGCTTGCACACACACACTTCCACACACTTACACACACTTACACACTTACACACTTACACACACACACACACACACACACACACTTACACACACACACACACATGCGGCAGTTTTCGGCCTCACTCTGGGTCGGCTTGATCACGTCGGCCGCTGCGTCAGGAATTGGGCGCCAGCTGTTTAGCCAGTGCCTGGAAAGGGAGGGGCCTATCGCTCGAGACAATGCTTGCGCGTTGCGAGTGCCCAAATTGCTGCAAAATGGAAACGCATGTTCGACGCCAAACCTGGCCCGATCTCCCGCCTCTTGGGCGGCTCCGGGCCAAACGGCCCCCGCTGCGCCGGCCGCCTCGACCCGCTCACTCCGTCTTCGCCGCTCACATTGGCGGCGGCAGCGATGCTTGCGCGGCCCCGCTCCAGCGCCCATGTCAGGGCCTGTGCTATACAAAGATGAAACAAGGCAGAGAGGAGAATTGCAAAGGCAAAAACATGCCAAGAATCATCCATTGAGGCTGGCTGAGTCCAATGAAGCGCTCTCCGATCAACCCGGCAATAGCATAGCTCCAAAAGCACGATGCCAAAAACAAGCATCAAAATGCCAGTGAAAAAAGACCTGTGGAGAACAATGCAGCTGTGGGACGGTCAAGGAAGTGCAAACTGCGCCTTCAATGACAAAGTCAAACTCGCGGCGGTTGCTAGCAGAAACTTCACAGGCATGGAATCTGACAGGGCATGGTGAGTGGGAGGCTATCAGCCCATCAAACAATTTTACCTCTTTGTGATGACGTGAGCCCTCCGCGGCTTGCGCCCTCACGATACAAAGCTAGAAAGAAACGCAAAAGTTTCAATTTGTCTCTTGGGCCTAGGGCTGTCCGACACCCCGCCTCAGTGTCCTCCCGCGCCAGAGCCTCGCTGCAGCTTAAGGCCACCTGGTCAAGGTTCCCGAGGACGGCGCTGTCCTCAGGCACCGCGACAGGAGCGAGGGCTGGCGGACCTCGGACTTGCCTCGCAAGAGGCTCAGGCTGCACCTCACTCCCTCACTCGGAACTCCAATCCCGCTCCAGGGGTGTCTCTGCGGCACGAGCCTCAAGACCACGCCCAGTCGCCTCCACACCTTGGTATAATTAGCCATATTCTCGCAAGCCAGCTTGTCACCAAGCAAGTGTACCACAAAGCCTGACTGGATCCCAAAACCTCCAAACCTGATACTGATACTGCAAAGATGGCTTGGCCAACAAACCGAAAACATCCAAATAGTGCTCTGCTCTGTGTTTCTGCTGGACCAGGTTGCAGGACCAAAGGGCTTGCCAAAACACGCTGCCAGGGCGCGCTTCTTTGCACGCTGGAAGCACCGTTTCAGCAGCTCCGGATGTTCTCGGTCCTGGACGTGCCCAAAAGATTCACTGATCCTTGCCCCAAACAAGAACCGCGCGATTACGCAGCGGCGGGGCCCCAAACAAGAAACCGTCACAAACGAGAACAACAATGTTGACCCCATACTAATCAACCCCAGTTTATGAAAATGAGGGGGTGTCCCAGGGTTTACACTTTTGGCGGCGAACACCTCCCCCCCAAATAGCAAGCTGGGGTTGATTAATATGGGTCAACATTACTTGATTCATGTGTTTTTGAGAAACCTCACTAGATACCATGCTGTTTAATGAATACCGGATTTATGAAAGAATGTGCCGCAATCCAATGAAACTCCAACTGCGACTTGTCAGTAAATACATTACCAATTCAGGTTCGACGTGCGCATGCATTGCCCTCCCTATTGCAAATTCAGTAAATGCAACCTGGCCTCGTCTTTGCCGAAGGAAATGTGGATCGTTTGAGAGAGGACCGCCCTGCCCTATAATGCTCTTGTTGGTTTTTGAGATCTTGCCCATGTCCCAGTCTGAAGACGACATGGGACGCGCAGAGGTTCTTCACATATCTCTGTGAAGTCCTGAGGCACCTACCGTTGGAGCGTGGGGTGGATGGCTCTCATTTGAGCTTTGTCGGCTTGCGAAGGTCTGAGTCAAGTGCTGTGGCCTCCGCGCGATTCTTGCCCCAGGTGTCCTCAGCGTCGCTTTCCGAGTCGCTCATCTTTGGAGGCGCGGGGCGAAATGGCAGCGCTCACGAAATGTGGCTGAGTGCAAAGAACACTGTTTCCCTAAAAAACACCTGCAGCACACTTCCCCAGAGGGGGTTCCAAAGCAGCACTGCTCTGACTGAATCAGCACGGCACGGCTTTGCGTGCTTGAGCCAACACAAGTGCCGGCTCTGAAAATGCCAAAGTCCAGCGGTGGCCAGGTGTTCTTCGCTGGCGCTCTCCGCCGTGTCACCCCCGCCTGTGCCGCTCGCCATGGCCGGGACATGGTTGCCATGGCGGGGCAAGGCGAAGGCTTCAACCAGTGTGGCAACGTCCAGAAGTTTGCTGCACCTACTGAAAAGAAATTGCGCCGCCTGGCTCTCTGAACCAAGTCGTGTGAGTCACGGACATGGACCTGGACTCCTTTTTGAGCCGAGCTTGGGGCTTGGACATGCCCAAGTCAGAATGAGAAGGCCTAAGACCCCACCCCGTCGCCTTTCCAACACATGGTCAAAATACATACATATATATATATATATGTATGTATACATGTGTATATATGTGTATACACGCACATATATATATATATATGTGTGTAAATATATCCCATCTCTCTCTCTCTCTCTCTCGTACCATCAATCTCGTCTGCAGAAGTGCCCCGCAAATTCGGCCTCAACTCAGCCTTCGCTCTCTCCCAGACCGGGCACCCCTTCTGGATCCAACCATCATAGACGTGCAGAAAGGAAAGCAGGAAATACGGTCTGCCGGCCTCATCTACAGACGAAGTGACAAAATGTGACGTGACAAAGCTGACTTTCCCCCGCGAAAGACTCCCAGGAGCAACACTTTGCAGTTCCTTTGCAGGTCCTTCCCAGGCCCTTTGCACCGAGTGCTGGGCTCTGTCAACGTACAAGTTGCATTGAACTTGTAGCCACCTGTCTTCCTGAAGCGCACGAAGCTGTGGACATTGGGACGGCACTTGCCAATGATCGGACAGCCGTTTTCCAATCCAAGCCACGTTTTTGTGACCGAGATCTTTGGGCGGGCTTTGTTGAGCCGGATGCCCACGTCATTCAGCTCCTGACAGGCAAATACGAGTGGTCTGTACGGCCCGCACGGCACAAGAAAGGTGGGGTCGCAAACTTCAAATCCTACTGCGGCTGGTGGTTTGTGGCCAGGGTGAACGCCCTAATGAACCTGACGAGAAAAAGTCGAGCCTTGTTTGCACCCGATGTCAACACATTGAGTGCCTCTTTCAGCGACCTCATCACGCGCCTTCGTGAGCATCTGCCGCTGGGCATCGTCCTTGGTGGCATCCAGGATCATCAGAATCCTCGGCACGTCCGCACGTCGACACGTGAGGCTTCAATTCAGCAGCCTAAAATGGGCAAACCGTACTTCCAACAAGGGCCGAACCGCCCGAGCAGTTGAGTGAAACTGCCTGTAGGTCATCCAAAACAAACGTGCCAGTACCCACATCCCGCCGCGGCGCATGTCTGCCGAACGAGCTGTGGAGATGACCTGGCGGCCTCTACCTGGCATCAAGACCCGCCCCCCAAGGCCGTACAGAGAGGGCTCTATTCACTTCAATGGTTGCTAAGCGTTTTTCCACAGTTCCTAGACTGGACTGGAAGGTGGCCTCAATTGGCGTTCTCCTCCCACCGCTTAAACTTGGCCACTTAGGAGCGGTGTGCTGGGCCACAGGAAGGTCCCACAAACATGTCTACAGGGCCTCTCTCTCTCTCCCTCCCTCTGTCTGTGTCTCGCTCTCCAGTTGTTAGCTTCTGCTTCTCAAGCCGCTTGGCATTCTGAGGACAACCCTCCTTTAGTGCTCACGGCCCGCGTCAGCCAGGGCATTTTATCCCTGATAAGTTGCAAGGCTTGTCCTTGCTGAGGCATTGTCAAACAAAGCACAAAGCGTCGACCCCCAATTGAAGCTGCAACCTTACTTCATGCAGGAGGAAGCTGCGAACCACGAAACCTTCACAAGCCAAACAAATGTTCGCGAAGGTCGTCCAGGTGCTTGATGGCACCGGGTTCCCAAAGGCTGATCGCCGGAAGGACCCCTCACACCAGGTGTTCGCGCTTCTCGCAGCTGGGCGGGCCCGAGGTCACACCCACGCTGTAGCTCCTAGGGAAGTCAGGGCCCCTTGAGCCCCCTTCTTACAACGCTGAAAGGAGCCAAGCCCTGTTTTCCTCCCATTTGAAGTGGTTGGGATGTCCAGAGACCTGGAGGAATCCGAAGCACCAAGCCAACCGATTCCGGGCTCCTCGTCGCCCCTGGCTGGATTAGCTGGCAGCTTTGGTCCAGGCCTGGCTTCCAGTTTGGATATAATTTATATCATATCATATAAATGATTCAATGGTTCCGACAAATCAATACGCATCTATCATCATCTTTCGGGGCTGATTCCCCCTTCAAATGGGAATCATTGCTTTTTGCGTAGGACTCCTCTGATTCGTAGGGTCCTTGACCAAACTGAAGTCGACATTCGCCCAGGCGATCTTTCAAGGGAAGGTGGGTTCTCGGGGTTTCCGCCCTCGACATTCCCTGCAAGCAACTTATCCTGACACCCATCAACCAGAACAGGGGCAAGGCGATTGCTGCGCTTGGGGGGAGGGGGGAGGGGAGCTAGCTGCAGCCTTGGAAAACAACCTACCGAACCAAGCAAAGCGCTTGTGCACCCAGCAAATGAAAGAGATGAAACCTCCACCAAGAAACCGTGTCAAGCTACCGAAATTGCACTCCTCAGGTACACATCTGATAGACACACGAGCCCCCCGTCTACCTTTAAGAAAATTGGGCGTGGCTCTGAGCTCCGACGGCCAGGCCACCCGGCTGTAGAAGGAGAAGCCCCTGCAAGGCCGGCCAAGTTCCCTCAGTTGCGAGGGGATCCTCCGAGCGAAGTGGGCGGCTTCTTGTTGAATCAGAATTGTTGCGGCCGCCAAGAATTGAGCGTCTCGCGCCCCTTTGCAAAGCTCCAGTTGAGTGGCCAAGGGGCAAAGCCGCACACAGACAAAACTCATCCGTAGAGTGTGTGACTTCTTGGGCCAATCCACATCGCTGAACAAAGTGCCACGAGTTCATTCTCCCTGAGTACGTTTTCTCCTTCCGCCTGCCCGAGTTTGGCCAGATCTTTGCCCAAGTGGCTGGCAGCGCCGCTGGCATTGCAGCGAGTCCGCCTCGGGGCAACGGCGGCATACGCAAAGCCAGGCCACGGAAGTCCGCGCCTGCCAGGAAGTCTCTCCAGGTATCACCTCGGGGTAGAAGACCCCGGCCTCGCCGCTTGGGCGCGGGCAGGCAACTGGGCCATGAATCTTCGCAGATCTTCGCCCATGGTCTTAGCTATCGCTTGCCCGCCCTGCCCCCAGTGACTTGAGGGCATGGACACACCCATCACCGCCTCATAGCAGCCCTGGTCCAGGTATTTAATGATGGCCACCGTGTCTGGGTGCTGCGAAACCTCAAGCGGAGCTTTTCTGCGGATGGCAGCAATGAGTTATGCCAAAACAGTTGTTGCAGTATTCTGGATATTAGCTGACTCCAGGATGGTCATGCAGAAAACTGCGCGAGTTTGACTGGAAACGCAGCCCACCCACGTTGGCCCTGGAAAGATGCCACGAAGCGCACGCCTAAAAATGAGAAGCCGACCCGCGTTTGGGATGCATGTCCTTTTCGACATTTTCCTTTGCAAGAAGTGTAGCACAATGTCATGTGCAATTTGATGTCTGACCCTTGGCTCCAGCTCTGCTGGCTAAATTCAGCCTCAAGGAACCCAAATCAATAACACCACCACGCCAAATAGGAAGGCATTGTGGGATCACCCCCACCATCACCATGACGGCGACGACCTTTCTGCTCCTTGCAACCTGCCCTCTTGCCCCCCAAGGACATAATCACACGACAAAAACCTACGACGAACAACCTCCACCGCCTGTTGCCAAAGCCAGGCCGCTTTGTTGCAGCCCGTGCTGCCGCTCTCGAAGCCCCAGCCTTTCTGCTGCAGGGCCACCTGCGCCGGGACAGAACTCACACACGGCCATGGCAGCCTCAGCAGTCAAGAAGCCAAAGGCCCCAGACGTCTTGAAACCTCAAAGCAAAAGCAAAGCGCCATTGACCGCTTGCCCCACAAGGATTCAAGGCAACCTGGTGAAAGCTTGATCACCGGAGCCTCTGCGGCTTGGCAGTGGCAATTGCCGCTGGCAATGAAGAAACTGTAGTATGCCTCAGCTCTGGCGTCAAAACAGCCCACGGTCTGCCACAAGAGCCTTGCAATTCAAAGCGCGTAAACTAAGTCTGTTCTGCCGCCAAAGCTGCCGCGCCAGGGTGCTGTGCGCAAAGCTTTTGGCATGCTGCCCCGCTGGCCGCGGTCATGGGGGGGAGCCCTGGCATGTCCAGCGGCAGGTAGCTGACTCCGTGCTCGGCGCCTCGGACGGGCCCTTCGGAAAAGCTGCAAGTGGCAAAGCTCTCTGCCCGGACGTTGGCTCATCATTGTTTGAAGGAAAGGGGCACATTTGAGCTGCAGTTCAGCGCCAAGGGAAACCACCAGCTATAAGAGCCAGCTCGATGACAAAGGCAAGGCAATGATGCCGGGATTCGGAACTACGTCCCCAAATCCAGGCTAAGCCACGCATCTGGCCCATCCGTCGGCCAAGCCGCACACCTGCCGCGTCACCTGCTGAGGCCCTCGTGCTGCCGCCGCTGCAGCCGCCGCGGCCGGCGCCTCCGCCTGCGCAACGGCCAGCGGCCGGTGCCGGGCCTGGCAGAAGGTAGTATCTTGTGGCAGCAAGGCCCAGGCCCCGACCAACGCCTTCAACGATGCTGTGCATGACCCATGCGGAAGACACTATCAGCACACTGGGGTGCTAAGGGCAGTACGAAAAAAGTACAGTATAAGCGAAACAATTTGCCCAAACCCTAATGCATGTAGTTGGCTCAAGTCCCACTTCCACGATGGCCCCCCCTCGCTCATCCGCCTCCTTCAATAGCTTGGGGTCGTCTGCCTTGGCAGGCTGTCTGGAGGTATGGTTTCAAAAGGTACTTTGCTGCTGCACCAGCTGACCACCTCTCTGCACAGCTGGCTCAGCTATGCCGTGCAGTTTGTGCAAAAGTCGGGTCCAGAAAGCCCCTGTCTCACATATCTTCACTCCAAGCCCGAAAGAGGATAAGAGCACTTGCGACCGGCCCTGGCCTCTTTGGCCCCGCAGGGCCTGCGGCAGGCATGGTCCCCCCGCTGCCACAGCGCCATGGCAAGGTCCTGACTGCTGCTCCGCACCTCAGCGGCCCCAGTTGTGCCCCATGTTTGCTTAAATCATGAAGAAAACAAAGTTTACTTTATATTCCTTTCCAAATGCAGGGTCCCTATGTGGGGACGTGCTCGCTTGAAGCGTAATCTTAGGACTTGATTAATAAATCCCCCCGGAATAATGACTTTTTCTCGCCCCGGGCCAGAAAAAATCCAATACTTATTTTTAATTAGCCAATACATAGTTTAGTCTTGGTGCCCCAGTTGACACAAGAAATCCCCCCGGAATAATAACTTTTCCGAGGCCAGAACTCCCAAAATTCGAATACTAGTTTTAATCTCCCCAATACTAATTGCAATTCAAACCCGCTGGCCAAGCAAACAAACACAAGGTTTCTTGGACTCCAGCACTGCCTCCCCCACATCAAAGCAACCCCCCTACAACTATGCTCCTGCACGCTTTAGCTACCAGAAAAATCATCGGCTTTCATTGCTGCATGGTGTCTAGTACTGCAGGCCTGCTAGCTAGGACGCCCCCCTACAATAAAGAGACCACCTCACAATAATACCAGCACAAGCAGTGCAGCAGCACCTGCACCCCATCATTCCCAAAAGCTTGGAAACTTTTATTGCTGCAGCAACCCCAAACTTGTGTTCTGCTCTTGTGGGTTTGCACTGAAAAGCTTCGGTTTTCATTGCTGCATGGTCTCTAGTACTGCAGGCCTGCTAGCTAGGACACACCCCTACAATAAAGAGACCACCTCACAATAATATCAGCACCAGCAGTGCAGCAGCACCTCCACCCCATCATTCCCAAAAGCTTGGAAACTTTTATTGCTGCAGCAATCCGGTGAGCTTCCACTGTGGCAGGGCTAGCTTGGAGACCTGTTTGGTCCTGGAGGTTGTGTGCTTCCCAGCACTTTGTGGCCTTGCCTGTGGCTCCAGGTGTGGCAGGGCCAGCTTGGACCTTTGGGGCCGCTTGACCTAGCCAGCACAAGCGGGGGGCCCAGATCAAGCAGAATTCTTTCCCGCACCGCCTTGCTGACAGAGCTCCGTGGCGTAATGGATAAGGCGTCGCCCTTCATAGCACACGGTCCTGGGCTCAATTCCTGGTGATGTCTTTCTGGTTCCTTTCCTCTTGCTGTGGTGGCTTTGGCTTTTTTTCTGCTCTGGGGGTTGTCTTTGAGTTTCAGAAGTGCTCAGCTCTCCTGCCCCTTCCTTCAGTTTGCCGGGCCTGTAACAATGCTTCCGCTGATGTGCTGGAGCAATCTCTTGCTTCCCACCGCTTGCGGCCTTGCCTGTTGTTGTATCTGGACTTTCACTGGTGTGGCAAGGCTGCTTTGGACACTTGTTGGGCGCCTTTGGGTCTGCACTTGTAAGCCTCCCATCGAGGTTCCACTGGTGTGCCAGGCTGCTTTGGACACGTGTTGGGTGCTTCGGGTTGTTTATTGAAACCTGCTGCTTCCTCAGCACTTGCAAGCCTTGCCTGTGGCCCATCAAGGTCCACTGGTGTGCCAGGGCTGCTTTGGAAACTTGTTGGTGGCTTTGGGTTGTTTATTGGACCCCAGTGCTTCCCCAGCACTTGTAACCCTGCCTGTGGCCCCATTGAGGTTCCACTGGTGTGACAGGGCTGCTTTGAAAACCTGGTGCTTCCCCAGCACTTGCTGCCTGGCCCGTGGCTTCAGTGAGCCCCCCTGGTGTGACAAACCAAATCGGGCACTTGTCCTGGCTTTTGCTCCGGTGAGCTTCCACTGTGGCAGGGCTAGCTTGGAGACCTGTTTGGTCCTGGAGGTTGTGTGCTTCCCAGCACTTTGTGGCCTTGCCTGTGGCTCCAGGTGTGGCAGGGCCAGCTTGGACCTTTGGGCTTGACCTAGCCAGCCTGCTGAGTCAGGCCGACCCGCCAGCAGCCCCACAGCAAAGGGACAAGCGGGGGGCCCAGATCAAGCAGAATTCTTTCCCGCGCCGCCTTGCTGACAGAGCTCCGTCGCGTAATGGATAAGGCGTCGCCCTTCATAGCACACGGTCCTGGGCTCAATTCTTGGTGGTGTCTTTCTGGTTCCTTTCCTCTTGCTGTGGTGGCTTTGGCTTTTTTTCTGCTCTGGGGGTTGTCTTTGAGTTTCAGAAGTGCTCAGCTCTCCTGCCCCTTCCTTCAGTTTGCCGGGCCTGTAACAATGCTTCCGCTGATGTGCTGGAGCAATCTCTTGCTTCCCACCGCTTGCGGCCTTGCCTGGAGGCCAAGTGAGCTTCCAGTGCCAGTTTGAAGACTTGTTGCATCTGGACTTTCACTGGTGTGGCAAGGCTGCTTTGGACACTTGTTGGGCGCCTTTGGGTCTGCACTTGTAAGCCTTGCCTGTGGCCCATCGAGGTTCCACTGGTGTGCCAGGCTGCTTTGGACAGCTTCGGGTTGTTTTTTGAAACCTGCTGCTTTATCAGCACTTGCAAGCCTTGCCTGTGGCCCATCAAGGTCCACTGGTGTGCCAGGGCTGCTTTGGAAACTTGTTGGTGGCTTTGGGTTGTTTATTGGACCCCAATGCTTCCCCAGCACTTGTAACCCTGCCTGTGGCCCCATTGAGGTTCCACTGGTGTGACAGGGCTGCTTTGAAAACCTGGTGCTTCCCCAGCACTTGCTGCCTGGCCCGTGGCTTCAGTGAGCCCCCCTGGTGTGACAAACCAAATCGGGCACTTGTCCTGGCTTTTGCTCCGGTGAGCTTCCACTGTGGCAGGGCTAGCTTGGAGACCTGTTTGGTCCTGGAGGTTGTGTGCTTCCCAGCACTTTGTGGCCTTGCCTGTGGCTCCAGGTGTGGCAGGGCCAGCTTGGACCTTTGGGGCTGCTTGACCTAGCCAGCCTGCTGAGTTCAGGCCGACCCGCCAGCAGCCCCACAGCAAAGGGACAAGCGGGGGGCCCAGATCAAGCAGAATTCTTTCCCGCGTTGCTGACAGAGCTCCGTGGCGCAATGGATAAGACGGTCCTGGGCTCAATTCCTGGTGGTGTCTTTCTGGTTCCTTTCCTCTTGCTGTGGTGGCTTTGGCTTTTTTTCTGCTCTGGGGGTTGTCTTTGAGTTTCAGAAGTGCTCAGCTCTCCTGCCCCTTCCTTCAGTTTGCCGGGCCTGTAACAATGCTTCCGCTGATGTGCTGGAGCAATCTCTTGCTTCCCACCGCTTGCGGCCTTGCCTGGAGGCCAAGTGAACTTCCAGTGCCAGTCTCAAGTGCCCTACAATAATAGCAGTACCCAGAATAATGGCCACGCCCTGCAGCCACTGGCCCCCAAATTCCCAAACCCAAAGCTCCAAACAATTCCAAAATCCCAAACTTCACCAGCACCAAAACTTGCAATCTCAAGTACTCAGCTTGTACTGAAGACCTTAGACTTTTCATCCTTGCATGGACTTCTGCACAGCAAGGCTCAGCAAGCGCCGCCCCCCTACAATAATAGCAGTACCCAGAATAGTGGCCAAGCCCTGCAGCCCAAGCCGCAATTTTTTCTTGCCTTGAGCCCTGCATGCAAACAAAGCCGCAGCCAAACTAGCAAAGATTAAGCTCCCCAGGTGGGAGCCTGCCATTTTCACAAAAAACAATAGGCCTAGATTTGGCAAATTGCTTACATAACTTTGTACTAGAAAACTAGGAAAATCATTCCTGCATGATGATCTGCACAGCAGTGCTTGCAGATGGCAAGCCCCCCTACAATAATAAGGCCACCCCACAATTATTTCTGAGCCCTGCATGCAAACAAAGCCACAGCCAAACTAGCAAAGATTAAGGTCCCCAAGTGGAAGCCTGTCATTTTCAAGAAAAATACTAAGGCCTAGATTTGGCAAATTGCTTACATAACTTTGTACTACAAAACTAAGAAAATCATTCCTGCATGATGATCTGCACAGCAGTGCTTGCAGATGGCTAGCCCCCCTACAATAATCACCCCACAATTATTTCTTGCCTTGAGCCCTGCAGGCAAGCAAAGCCACAGCCAAACTAGCAAAGATTAAGGTGCTTAAGTGGAAGCCTGCCACTTTCAATAAAAAAAGCAAAAAGCCTAGATTTGGCGAATTGCTTACATAACTTTGTACTAGAAAACTAGGAAAATCATTCCTGCATGATGATCTGCACAGCAGTGCTTGCAGATGGCTAGCACCCCCTACAATAATAAAGCCACCCCACAATTATTTCTTGCCTTGAGCCCTGCAGGCAAACAAAGCCACAACCAAACTAGCAAAGATTAAGGTCCCCAAGTGGAAGCCTGCCATTTTCACAAAAAACAATAGGCCTAGATTTGGCAAATTGCTTACATAACTTTGTACTAGAACACTAGGAAAATCATTCCTGCATGATGATCTGCACAGCAGTGCTTGCAGATGGCTAGCCCCCCTAAAAAAATAAGGCCACCCCACAATTATTTATTGCCTTAAGCCCTGCATGCAAACAAAGCCACAGCCAAACTAGCAAAGATTAAGGTCCCCAAGTGGAAGCCTGTCATTTTCAAGAAAACCAATAAGCCTAGATTTGGCAAATTGCTTACATAACTTTGTACTAGAAAACTAGGAAAATCATTCCTGCATGATGATCTGCACAGCAGTGCTTGCAGATGGCTAGCCCCCCTACAATAATAAGGCCACCCCGCAATTATTTCTTGCCTTAAGCCATGCATGCAAACAAAGCCACAGCCAAACTAGCAAAGATTAATTAAGGTGCACAAGTGGAAGCCTGCAATTTTCAAGAAAAACCATAGGCCTAGATTTGGCAAATTGCTTACATAACTTTGTACTAGAACACTAGGAAAATCATTCCTACATGATGATCTGCACAGCAGTGCTTGCAGATGGATAGCCCCCCTACAATAGTAAGGCCACCCCACAATTATTTCTTGCCTTGAGCCCTGCGTGCAAACAAAGCCACAGCTAAACTAGCACAGATTAAGCTGCCCAAGTGGAAGCCTGCCACTTTCAAGAAAAAGCAAAAAGCCTACTGTAGATTTGGCGAATTGCTTACATAACTTCGTACTAGAACACTAGGAAAATCATTCCTGCATGATG